TTTTACTTTACTTTTACTTTACTTTTACTTTACTTTTACTTTACTTTACTTTTACTTTACTTTTACTTTCACTTTGCTTTCACTTTGCTTTCATTTTATTGTCATTGCACTTTGTACAATGAAATTAAATAACATCCTCAGTGGCCATTATAATTATAACTGTAAAAATAAAACACAAACACACCTCCTTTGCATTCTATACAATTGAATTGAAAACCCCTGATATTGCATTAATATGGCACTATACAGTAGAATTCAATAGAGTTACTGCCCTGGGATAGAAGTTGTTTTTCAGCCTGTTTGTCCTTGTTTTTATTATCCTGTACCGTCTGCCAGATGGTAATAGTTCAAAAAAAGGGGTGCCCACGATGAGATGGATCTTTGAGAATGTTTTGAACTTTCTTAAGGCAGAGGGAGCTCTAAAGCTCTTCCAAAGAGGGGAGAGGGCAGCCAATGATCCTCTGGGCAATGACGTTAACCCTCTGGGAGTGCTGTCCTATCTGCCCCTGTGCAATTGGCAAACCATACAGAGGTGCAGTAAGTTAAGATACTCTCTATGGTGCAGCGGTAGAAGGTCACCAGCAGTTTTCCATTCAGTTGTTGTTTTCTGAGAAGGTTTTCTTTCTGAGAAATATCTCAGATGGTATTCAGATCAGTGGTGGTATTCAATTTTTTTTACTACCTGTTCTGTGGGCGTGGCTTGATGGGCATGGCATGGCTTGGGTATGGCGTGGCTTGGTAGGCATGGCAGGGGAAGGATACTGCAAAATCCCCATTCCCTCCCCACCCCACTAACCTGCTTTCCAGCTCCGTTTTCCTGTGCAGGGCAACCAAACTAGCCCCAGCCGATCAGCAGGGACTCAATGGGAGGCGGAGAATAGATGGGGGTGGGGCCAGTCAGAGGTGGTATTGGCCGGTTCTCCAAACTACTCAAAATTTCTACTACCGGTTCTCCAGAACTGGTCAGAACTGGCTGAATAACCACCTCTGATTCAGATGTTGTGGCAAAAAGCTATCCAAGGTCTTCGGTGAGTAAAGTCGTATCCAGAAGAATCACCCACAGAGCATTCCTGCATTTCAGCGACCATGAGTCACACCTGCGTTCATGCCTTCTGCTAAACTAAACCATGCTTTTTGTTCGTTAGGGTGTGCTGAACATCCTCGTTTGATTGGTTCATCTAAAATGCTAAGCTGTCAATTAGGGTTCCCAAAAACTCAGGGACTGAATCGTGCATCCCTCCTACTAAGTGGAACCCAAGTGGGATGCATTTGTGGCTTAGCTTGATTAAGGAAACCCCCAGTTTTGTAATACAGGTTGCTGTCATTTCTTTTTCAATAGCACCTCTACACTTTTGAAAAAGACCTGCGGGTGATCAGCTGTTCCATCAATCGTGAAAAGACCTTGTTAGGTAAGTCCTCCTATTTGAGCGATGTTGTATGTTGATATAGACCCGTGATGGTGAGCCTAGTGTGGCATGTGGGCCAGAGGTGGCATGCAGAACCCTCCTCAGTGGGCAGGCACCCCGTTGCCAGCTGCTCTTCTGGTATCTGGTGTGCACATGTGTGCCAGTCAGCTGGTCTCCAAAAATAGGCCATTTTCCGGGCTGTTTTTCGGGGCATTTGGGGGGCATTTTCAGGCTGTTTTCAGGCCGTCCTTGGCCTCAAAAATGGCCTGAAAATGTCCAGGAAAAATCCCAGAAAACATCCTGAAAATGTCCTGAAAAATGTCCTGAAAAAGCCCAAAAACATCCTGAAAATATCCTGGAAAACATCCTGAAAACATCCTGGAAAACATCCTGAAAACATCCCGGAAAATGGTCTGAAAACATCCTGGAAATATCCTGAAAAATACTGAAAATGGCCCCAAAAACATCCTGAAAACATCCTGGAAAACATCCCAGAAAATGTCCTGAAAACATCCCAAAAACTGTCCTGAAAAACATCCTGAAAATATCCCAAAAATGTCCTGAAAATATCCTGAAAAACATCCTGAAAACATCCCAAAAATGTCCTGAAAATAGCCCAAAAACATCCTGAAAACATCTTGAAAAACATCCTGGAAAATGGCTTAAAAATGTCCTGAAGATAGCCCCAAAAACATCCTGAAAAACATCCTGAAAACATCCTGAAAAATGTCCTGAAAATGTCCCAAAAAACAGCCTGAAAACATCCTAAAAACATCCTAAAAACATCCCCAAAATGTCCTGAAAACAGCCGAAAAATGCCCAAAAAACAGGCCGTGGGGAGGACTATGTTGTAGACTGGAGATAGACGACATCATCTATCTCCAGTCTACAACACAGTCCTTGAAACCGTTCCAAGAAGACTCCACAGCCATTTGCACCACTCAGGTGACCTGAGGACACAGGCAAATCTTCCAGTGGCCTCAATGACTCTAAGAGGATGCAAATGACCAGCTGTCTACAAAGGGATATAAATCCTTCCAGTCCCCACCATCCAGTCCGAGCTGAAGAAGCTTCATGGATGAGAAGTAAAATGTCTTCAAAGAAAAACCAGAAAGTCCAGTTGTCTTTTGAAAAAAGCACCTTTGGGACATCCTGGACAAACGGTTGGCTAGTCTATTTTTGAAAGATTCCAGTGATGGAGCCCACACAACTCTGGGAAGCAAGTTGTTACATTGATTAACTGTTCTCCCTAGCAGGAAATTTCTCCTTAGTTCTAGATTGGAGCTCTCTTTGATAATTTTCCATCTGTTACTTCTTGTCCTGCCCTCAACTGCTTTGGAGAACAAGCCAATCTTGTCTTCTCTGTGACAGCCCCTGGAATACTGGAAGGCAGCTAACATGTCACCCCTGATCCTTCTCTTTATTAGGCCACACATTCCTTAGTTGTTTGTTCAGGTTGAACTTCAGGATTGTGCAAATTGATTGTGCAAATTGTCCCCCCGATGGAACAGACCTCCATATGTAGCGATGAGTTCTCCTTAATTCATCTCTCAGAGGTTGGATGGTCATCTATCAGAGATGCTGTTTTAGATCCTGTCCCTTAGCAGAGTTGGACTACATGACTTCTCTGGCAGGGGTTGCCAACCTTTTGGACCTCAGGGACCAACAAACTCATAATTTCAAATCCCGCGGACCACTAATATGAATTTTGACTGACGGTGGCTTGCTGACGTTGATGGGAAAGTCGGTGCCATATTCCAGAGCTGCAATAGTCACAGGACTGGCCCTTTGGTCATCCTGGAGCAGCTGCTCCTCCACCCGGGTGTACCAGCCTGCCATGGACTGGAGGAGCTGCTCTGGGATGACCAAAGGGCCAGACCTGTGACTACTGCAGCTCTGGAACATGGCACCGACTTTCCCACCGACGTCAGCAAGCCACCCCGGGGCAGATTTCCCTTCCCCACCGTTGGTATCACCTTCCAGTTCCAGCTCATGTAGACTACTCAAGGTAAGGTTTGTGCTCGGCCGAAGGGTGGGGGCCAGCGGATGGGTGGGCCATGTGGGTGTGGCAGCCTTGTGTTACTGCGCAGCCTGGATTAATTGCTGGGGGGGGGGACATTTCTCTGCAGACCATCAAAATTTTCTCACGGACTACCAGTGGTCCCCAGCCTACCGGTTGGTGGCCACTGCTCTATGGATCCATGTTCTGCCGAACTGTTAACTTTTGTTGAACTTTCCTCAATAAAACCTCAGGTTGAATTTTCAATACTTGATTACGATTATGTTATCCGTAAGGTCGTGTCCGATTCTTGGCGATTGTGTGGGCCAGATATCTCCACATCTTCTGATCTTGGCGTACGTTTTTGAATTGTTCCATGCTCTGTCTGATGTCAGCTTTGATGGCAATGCAATGCTTTTCATTTTCAATATCTTTTTTTTTTTTAAATAGCCATCAGTTTCCTGCAGACAGCACAGGAAGAGAAAAAGTTCCTTTTTGAAACAGGTACATGAATTATCTAAGCACTCTTAAATGGACTTCACAAATCACTGAATGATGGGTTAATATTATCTTCTTTTGTGTTTTTTTAATCCCAGTTCCTAAATGTCTGACCTTGCTAATTGAAATTCACCCGCTTAATAATGTGAAAGTTTTAAAGGCTGTGGATAGCTGTATTAGAGTACAGGTGAGTGATTTTACTCCAGATTTAATATTATTTGTATGGTAGCACAATGTTAGAAAGCACTAAATGCATTGCGTCTTTGTAAAAAAATTATTAATAAGCTAATAAGCAGCTTTATACAGTACTACATATGGCTCCCAAATGAGACTTGTCTTTTAATAATAAACTCATTCAGTCTTAAAATATTATTACATTTACATAGTTGCCCCACTTCACAGTAAAATGACTCTGGGCAGCTTGCGATGAAAACAATCCTAAAGGAGAATGTTGAACTCTACAATTAAAAGACAACAGCAATGTTATTGATAACAAGATAGTGGAGAGATTTGATGTTAAAAACAATGCAGGCATCTCCTCACATCATTTCCTTGATCTACTGGCCCAGTCGTGTTTTAAGAGACTTCTGGAAGGGTGTCAAAGATGGGGCCTTGGGAGGGACAATGTTCCACAGGGTGAGTGCCATGGTAGAAACTCAACCCATCTCTTAGGTTCTCTCAAATGAAGCTGTGGGGTCCTTGGTGCTCTCTGAGCTTGACTGTTTTCTTGCAGACTTTTCGTGACCAAACTAGGTAACGTCATCAGTGCTAGTAAGGAGTGGCATTGAGGAGGAGGAAGGGGGGAGGAGGAAGGGGAGGAGCAGACAAGGATTGTGGGGGTCCTTGGGGCTCTCTGAGCTTGTCTCTTTTCTTGCAGACTTTTCATGACCCAACTAGGTAACATCATCAGTGCTAGTAAGGACTGGGGTTGAGGAGGAGGAGGAGGCATAGGGAGGAGGAAGGGGAATAAGAGGAGGAGCAGACAAGGATTGTAGAGGTCTTTGGTGCTCTTTGAGCTTGACTGTTTTCTTCCAGACTTTTCATGACCCAAATAGGTAATAATAAGTGCTAGGAAGGAGTGGTGTTTGCAGGGAGGAAATGGAGGAGGAGGAAGAGGAAGAGGTGGAGGAGGAGACAAGGATAGTGGAAGTCCTTGGTATTCTCTGTTGTGATTCGCCGGCAGCAGGTTCAGACAGCAGAGGTCTCTGATAGCAAGGACTCGGACGAGGGGCCTGTGTGTGATGCAGGGATGGGGACAGGACTATCGGAGAGGAGGGTGCTGCCTTGGAGGTCATGGAGTCTGGCAGCAGTGACACAAGGGACCCTGGGGAGCCAGTGTACGTACATGCAGGGCTGCTCGAAGGAAAGAGCAGCTGAAGCAGCAAGGGCAGAAGGTGATGGCCACTCCCATAAGGGATAAAAACCAGCCCTTGGGGATGTGTTCTTTGCAGGAAGCAAAGAAGTTCTTTAGACTCAGAGTCCCTCGTTGAAGCCCTGCTTACTCCGGTTTGTTTTTGAAACTTCTGTTGGTGGATATTTAATCAGTAATTAGTCTTCTGTTCTTGGCAGCCTTTCGCAGCCTTGAAAGGGCTTGCTTTTGATATTGGACAATTAGGTTTACATGTCTCTTAGCTGGGAATGCACTGAATTCCCAGCGCCACATGAAAAAAGCTTTGCTTTTATACCCAATTTGTGTCTGTTTAATTTGAACTTGGGTCAGAACATTCGTTGAACTTGGGTGTTTTCTTGCACACATTTCATGACCTAAGTAGGTAACATTATCAGTGCTAGTAAGGAGTGGTGTTTAGGAGGAGCGGGGAGGAAGAAGAGGAGGAGATGACAAGGATTGTGGGGGCCCTTGGTGCTCTCTGAGCTTGGCTTGTTTTCTTGCAGCATTGATGCTGTTATCTAGTTTGGTAATGAAACGTCTGCAAGAAAACAACCAAGCTCAGAGAGCACCAAGGACCTCACAGTTGAACCTGGAGCTACAAAGACTCTCTTCCATTGGTAGCTAAAACTCTTTGCAGTTGGGACTCAAGGCATACCTCTACTTCCGGACCTGATGGGATAGGGCAGTTACAACTAGGTGGAGGCAGTCCTTCAAATAACAAGTAATGTTAATAGGGTCTAGTTATGAGACTCCAGTAGACAAATATCTGATGTCAATGGCAAACCATAATATATTTTTTTAATTTTTTTCTGAACAATTCTCTTTTTCAGTTCCTATATCCCCTTACAGATAAAACGTCATGGTCAGATAGCTGCCTCTTACTCATTTCAGAAGATAAATGTAAGTATTTTTACTTCTGCATTTTGATTGCAAGTTCCTTGGCAGGTTCTAGGTTTAGTGTACTAAAAGGCAATAGGGAGTTTCGGTGGCAGAGGCATCGACGGCCGGTCCTGGGCTGTTTCCAGGGTGGCCCCATGGGAGTTTGACACCCCTGATCTAACCCAAGATTTTTGTCGCTCCATGCTATTTGCCTTTTCAACTCCTCCCGCAACACCCTTTGAACCCCAACAGTAGAAACGAAGAAATATACAGTATCGACCCAGTGCAGGGGTGGGCTTCAAATTTTTTAGCAAGGGGCTCTCTGCCCTAATGACTGGCTGGATAGTCATGTGGCTGGGTGGGCATGGCTAGGTGGTCATGTGATCGGGTGGGCATGGCTAGGTAGTCATGTGGCTGGGTGGTCATGTGACTGGGTGGGTGTGGCCAACTCGACGTCGCTTCTTTGCCCTAATTGCCTAAAAAAATATAATATACCAAAAAGTTGTTTATTATTTTGTGCATTTAATACTTAAATAAAAGACTGGGTGAAACCAGGCTTAATAGCAGTGACTGTGAAAGGGATCTTGGAGTCTTAGTGGTGTTTCTGGTGAGTTACGTGGTTCTTATTATTTGGAAATTAATCCACTCGGAGGCTAGTGGCTAGGTCAGTGGTAGCTAACCTTTTTCAGCTCCCATGCCAAAAATTGCACCCAGAAGGCAATGTGCGCTGGCCCCCCCCACGCCCCATATGCATGCACGCGCGATTCCCTCATGTGCCATGTGTCTCTGCACATGCACACGTGATTCCCCATGCGCGGTGCACATCTTTGTGTATGCACGCAAGACCCCCTTGCACCCACGCATCTCTGTGCATGCATGCATGTCTTCCATGAACCCCCGTCCCTGCATATGCATGCCAGATACCCGACAATCAGCTGTCGGGTGGGCGGTGCGCGCATGTGCAGTGGGGCTCTTCCGAGCGACCTCTCACATGCCAGCAGAAGTGGCTCTTTATGCCACTTCCAGCACACATGCCATAGGTTCGCCATCACGGTGCTAAGTTATCTGATTTTCCCAATGGCTCTCCCTTGCAAGGGCTGAATGGATTGTTTATCTAGCTTGCAACACTTTTACCAGGTGTGAAATGCTCTTGGCTGAACGCCCAGAAGTTCAATGAAGCCTATTAAGAGCTTTCGCTTGCTGCTTGTCTTTCTGAGATTATTGAGGACTCTCTGAGCCCCGCAGAATCTCAGCTAGGGGCTCTCCCAAGCCCCTGTGAGCCCCCAGCAGCCACCCCTGACCCAGTGTACAGCTTTCTTAAATAATGTTTGATATACCCAATACCTGTACCTTGATATCTGTTACCTAAGATTGCCTTTATGTTTCTTAAGATGCCGAAAAATTGGACATCAAAACTGTCAGAGAAGGAGACAGGGTGGTATGTTGTAATTTTCTTCCTTTTGGGCTTTTTTGTTGTGGTTGAAACGAGATTGGGCAGAGTGAAAAAAATATCCAGGTTCTGTTCTAAATGTAATTTTTCCCTCACATAAAATATAATTACCTGGGCAGAAATCTGATCTGGTTTTTGACGAATTATGACAGGGTAAGATAAAACTCATTCCCATCAGAATACAAGTTGTCAACTGAGAGATCACCAGAAATCATACCGATGAACTCTAATCCCTGTCATGGTAGGCTAAAGAGCCTCACTTATCCACTTAATCTACAGGTAGTCCTCGACTTATGACCACAATTGAGCCCCAAATTTATGTTGCTAAGTGAGACATTTGTTTAGTGAGTTTTGCCTCATTTTATGACCTTTCTTGCCTCAGTTGCTAAGTGAATCACTGCAGTTGATAAGTTAGGTAAAGGTAAAGGTTCCCCTCACACATACGTGCTAGTCGTTCCTGACTCTAGGGGGCAGTGTTCATCTCCATTACAAAGCTGAAGAGACAGCGCTGTCTGAAGACGTCTTCATGGTCATGTGGCCAGCATGTCTAAATGCTGAAGGCAGACAGAACACTGTTACCTTCCCACCAAAGGGGTCCTTATTTTTCTACTTGCATTTTCACATGCTTGCGAACTGCTAGGTTGGCAGAAGCTGGGACAAGTAACGGGAGCTCACTCCATTACGCGGCGCTAGGGATTCGAACCACCGAACTGCCAACCTTTCTGATTGACTAGTTCAGCATCTTAGCCACTGACCCACCACGTCCCATTGTTGATAAGTTAGTAACTGGTTGTTGAGTGAATCTGCCTTCCCATTGCTTATGAAAAGGTCACAAAGGGGGATCAAATGACGTGGGAATAGAATTTCCTTCTTGAGATGAGGATTGGACTAGAAGACCTCCAAGGTCCCTTCCAACCATATTATTCTGTGTTCTACATGACATTGTACTGTTTCTCTTCTGTAATCGTGCTACTTTCCTTCCCTTTTAGATGATTGAAAATTCGAGCTGGCTTTCGAAGGAGAGAATTGCCGATGATCTCGTGTGGTCCCAGTGGGACATGCTAGAACAAAGACTATTCTACATTGTCACAAAGGTGAAAAACAAGAATTTTTTTTTTGTTCTCTTGGTCATATATTCTGTGATGACCCGGAGTGTAACACAAACGTAACAAAATCGAAAATGTAAATAAATGTCCTTTAATGCCTCCAACTTGGCCCCACTGTTCAATAATTCTCAGTTGGTGATAAAATTTATTCAAAAGTACTCTTCAAAAGAAAGCAATACAGTCCGAACTTAATGAGCAGATAGAGGTGAAATAAAAAACCCAAACAAACTACAATGAAGGAATTTCCACAATGGACCAGGATAAGTAATTACCAACTGCAAGGAGATAACAAGGCACAGTCTGTTGGAAGGACGCCAACCAAAATAACTTCAGCCCAAAATAAAACACCCTTTGCTTCTGGCAACGCTGTGTTTTAACTGTCTCTCTTATATACTGTTGTCCCCAGCTGCAACCAATGAGGGGGATCATGGCCGCTTCCTCTCTCGTAAGCCAAGTTGTTTCCTTCCTCCCTGCATGTCCTGGAATGAAGAGGGGATGGGCCTGGTTCTTCCTCTGACTGCCCAGCCGGCCTCTGCCCTTCCCTAACCTCCACAACCTCCGGAGCCACACCTCCACTCCCTGTTGGCTGTTCCTCCTCTTCCTCAGAGTCTGACTCTAACAAGGGCATGCCATATTCCTCATGCTGTGGGTTATTTAATTGTAGCGATTTGACACACACCTCAAAATGATGCAGAGTTATTTATCTAAAGGTGATTGAAGTGATACTTAGAAGAATTTGCAGGAGAGAGATATCTTCTCTCTCTTGTTATAAAGAAAGATTTTCTAAACATACTGAAACTCTGAGGCAAATTATAGAGTTGGTTCCAGAACTGAAACATAAGAAAATGTTAGCCAGTTGGTCCAGTGGTGAAAGCACCAGGCTAGAAACCAGGAGACTGTGAGTTCTAGTCCCACTTTAGACATGAAATTTGCTTGGGTGATTTGGGAGCCAGTTCCTCCCTCTCAGCCCAATTCACCTCACAAGGTGGTATTTGTCGCCTTGAGTTATTTATAACAGTAATGAAATTGTGATAAATAATCTTATTTATGATGGTAGAGAGAGTGTGATGACCCGGGGCATGGCATGAAGGCAACACCAGAAAATACGTATCCGTCCCTTCATTTGCTCCACCTTTGCCCCCAATATTCCAGTTACTCTCCAGCCAGAAAAAAAGCTCTCCAACAAACCTGCAACAGCCTCTGGCTGCAGATACTCCAGTCGAAATGCTGTAAGCAAAATGACTGCAATCAATCACACCAGGAGGGCCAAAGAATGAGTCCAATAATTCCAGCAAGGCAAGATAAGCACAAAGAAGCACAGCAATAATTCAAACAGTCAGGAAGAATGCCAGGAATGCAGGCCACAATTCTCAACACTAGATGAATTCAGCATTTGTTCCTGACGAACGCCCCTCCCAACTGCCTCTCCTTTAAACTCCCTCCCTAGGTGTGGCTAATGAAGGGAATCAGGGCCCTTTCCTCCCCCTTAAGCCACACCACCACGTTGCTCTTTTCTCCATTCCTCCCTGCATGCCCTAGGATGAAGAGGGGGTGGACCTGGTTCTTCCTCTGAACCCCCTCTCCCTTGTTCTACCTCTCCCTGCTCTGCCCAACCTGACTTTGCCCTTCCCCCAGTTTCCTCCACAGCCGAAGGAGCTACACTCCCACTCCCTGTCAGCTGTTCTTCTTCCTCCTTGGATTCAGACTCCTGGCAAGTTGGCCTTGATAGAAATATGCACAAAGGAAGCAAACGAGGCTGAAACATTTTTTAAGTCCTAGGAGACAAGATAATATTTGAAAGTAGTTTGGTCAAATATCTTTCTGATTCACCTGGTCTGCAGCTACAGTCTACATTTGTTGAGTCTCCTCTTAATGAAAATCATAATATTGCCTTGTTTGTTCAGGAACAGCTCAAAATAAGTAAAAAAAAAAACATGCAGATGAACTCTCCTTCCCTTCTTGTGGTCCTGCATTTCTCGTTAAAAATCTGTTGAGAAACATTAGTTTGTAATTTAAAAAAAATAATAATTTAGATTTTCCAGTGCCAGGATAATGTTTACCTCCACAGATGATCAAATTTCAGTCTCTTCTTTTCATTCTAGGAAGAAGAAAGGGACATATTAAATTGCATCCAATTTTATCCCAATAAAGACTTTAAACTGATAGTAAGTTCTCTTCAGATTTTATATAGGGAAAATACTGTTAAATTGCACATGGAAGGGGATTTTTTTGGGGGGGGGGGATGGGGAGGATTGGATGTAGGTCTATGTCTGATCAATGCAAAGGACAATAGCAATTTTTAAATCTTAAACATGTGTCCCATATACGCAGGGTTAAACGGAATTTAAATAACCCACATTTGATTGCATTCACACATTATTTTAAAGCAAGCAAATTTGCATTATGGATTAGTGTGCAGCATATGTGCATTGAACATCTACTGCTTGTGTGTTTTGATTATGGAATGCATGTCACCTGCATCCTTTAAGAAAGCAATAATTTCAAAAATAGAACATACCCATCTACGTAATTGCCTAGCCTTTTTTCAGCATCATGCTCTTAATATACGGGGTTAAAACTTTCAACAATTGTGATTGGTCAGTCTGTCTTGGAATTCTAGGTTCTGTATGCATTTAGAAGGGTGTAATTGAAGAAGGGGGATGCGATGATGGCTCAGCAGTTAAAAACATAGAGCTTGTCAGCTGAAGAGCTGACAGCCCAGGTTGGAGCCTCCTGCGTCACACAAAGGGATGAGCTCCCATTTTTGCCTCAGTTTCTGCCCACCTAACAGTTCGAAAGCATGGAAATGTGAGTAGATTAATAGGTACCACTTTGGTGGGAAGATAACAGCTTTCCATACGCCTCAGCATATATCCATGTTGGCCACATGACCATGGAAGTGTCTCTAGACAGCGCTGGATCCCTCGGCCAGGAAATGGAGATTTGCACTGTCCCCTAGAATCGGACACAACTGGACAAGGGAAACCTTTACCTTTTTTTTTTAAATTGAAGAAGGCTGTCTTTCTTGAACACCTATATTCCAGGCAGGTGGTAGTCATTATTTGCAAAAGAGGAATTCCTTGAGAAGTAAAGGAGAATGCTCAAAATCATGTAGATGCCTTAACAACTTATTCCTATTCTATTAATGTCTTATTAAAGAAATGTAAATGGATTTCTTACAGGAAACTGCTAGTAAATCGGATAAAATTGGATGAATTCATCTCTATAAATTGTAAGCCAACCGGAGTCACCTTATAGGGGGTTGGGCAGGATAGATAGATAGATAGATAGATAGATAGATAGATAGATAGATAGAT